AGGGTCTTGCTAAGTTGGCTAGTCTGGGTTCAAATTTGTGATCCTCCTATCTCATCCTTCCAGTATTTTCTTCTTAATGGATCTCTGGCTGCCTGCCATTTTTTGCTCTTACATAAAAATTCCAGTACTTGTTTCCACTACAGTACATTTGTGTGGGTTATTATGGCTGTGCCTTTCTATTTTATCAGAACCACAATATGAAATGCAGTTTACTCAGTTTCCCCAAATAGGCACACTCGTGAGAGTACGAAAAGTTCTGCAAAACAGTGCTCAACCTTTGTGTCATATAATGCACACTGTTGATAGTCCACTTTATTACACTTTTTAAGAAGTACTGGTTGAGACTCATTAAACTGATTTCACAAGCTATAGCTTGGCCTGCAGGCTGAGAGACAGTGTCAGAAGAGTACAGACAACCCTGATGTTACCAGCTACTGCTAGGCTCCTCTCCAAAGTGACGTCTAATTGACAGCCTTAGTAGTTAGGTATGAGAATTCCTACTGCTCCACAGTTTCAACTATTTTGAACATTGCCAGGCAGATCAATAGAGTTTTGCCACAGCTGGGCATGGTGGTGCACACCTATAATCCCAGCACTCTGGGAAGCTAAGGCAGGAGGATCACAAGTTTGAGCTCAGCCTGGACAACTTATTGAGATCCTGTCTATAAATGAACAAATGAATAAATGAATAAAAATTAAAAATATGCCAGTTCTGGTGGTGCACGCCTATAATCCCAATACTTGGGAGGCTGAGGCAGAGGGATCACCACGAGTTTGAGGCCAGCGTGGGCTACAGAGTGAGTTCAAGCCCAGCCTGAACTACGTAGTGAGTCCCTGTCACAAAAAAAAAAAAACAAAAACAAAAATAAAAGGCCAGGGGATGTAAAGGCCATGTGGTAAATCCCAAGTAAAATACACACACACAAAAAGAACTAGCTCAAACATACACATAAGCTGGGTGCGGTGGCGCACGGCTATAATCCCAGCACTCGGGAGGCTGAGGCAGAGGGATCGCCTTGAGTTTGAGGCTAGACTGGGCTACTGAGTGAGTTCAAGGCTAGCCTGAACCACATAGTGAAATCTTGTCTCAAAAAGACAAACAAATAAACATACACACAAATGACTTTCATTGAGACAACCTCTGTCTTTTGCTATGCAGCAAAAGTGCTTTATGTATATGCTTTGTGTATACTTCACATTCATCACATACAATACCGATGTGCACTTCAGGGTTAAGACTTTTTTTTTGTCTTTGTGAGACAGGGTTTCACTATGCTGTTCAGGCTGGCCTTGAGCTTATTTTATAGTCCAGG